GGCTAGTGGATGTGAGGGTGCAGGAATTTGGGTTGGAGTATGTCAGGGGCTCAGGGCAGGGGGTTCCAGTGTATGATAGGCTCAGATCTAGGGCCTTGGGGAGTGGTGCAGAAGTGTTATGATGCTGCAGCCAGATGGGGGCTTGGCTCCAGTTTGGGGTTTGTTGGCCAGACTTAATTTTTAAATAAAATACTATATGAAACACAAAGTTTCTGCGTTGTCTGTCTTTATGAGAAGAGCAGGGAACCTGTTTTGAATCAGGGGTCATTGACTCACAGAAAAGTCAGTTGCGGCATCTCCCTTGTGTGGACCCCCCCCAAAAAAACCCTCCTCCAAACCCCCCCCAGCCTCATTAACGTGGCCCCAACTGTGCTGGTGGGAGCAGGGGAGATGGTACTAGAGAAGGATGCTAGTGGGTGCTGGGACAGGGTGCCAGTGGAGACAGAGGTGCTGGGGAGGGGGTGCCCAGGTGCCCGGATGGTGCCGTTGGCCCCGCCCCCTCCCCGCAGCCCCTGCGCGCGCTCTCCAGCGGTTTGAATTCGGTGCGGTTCGAAACGCGCGTGCAGGGGGCGGGGCTTGCAGGGATCCCTGCGTCACGCTCGCTTCTGAGTGGCTGTGGGCGACTCCTGGCCCTGCCTCCCCACGCGCTGTGCCGTGCCCGCTTTCAGCCCCGCTCCGCCTGCGGGCTCTGGCCCTGCTCCTGCAGCTGGTGATCCGCTCCTCGTCTTCCCTCTTCGACAGGCCAGCCGCTCCTAGCCGTCTCGCTCGACCTGCGCAGCCCGCCCCGCTTCTGGGGTTTAGAACCCATCGCCCCTAATCTGGCAGTCCGCGCTCAGTGTGCAGTGATAATTCTGTGCGTTTATGGCGCTCTTCATCCAGGGGCCTCGCTCGACCTGCGCAGCCCGCCCCGCTTCTGGGGTTTAGAACCCATCGCCCCTAATCTGGCAGTCCGCGCTCAGTGTGCAGTGATAATTCTGTGCGTTTATGGCGCTCTTCATCCAGGGGCTTCTATATCGTCCCAAGCAAGAGTCTGCATCGGGAGTGGGAGTGGATCCGTGTCTGTGTCCTGAGACACTTGTTACCATAACTGGCCTCTCTCTAGTGGATTCTCTGGTTAGAATGCTGGGCTAGAACTCAAATTTGAGTCTGTTCCTGACTCTAATACTGCTCTGTTGGGTTCCTGGGTACATCATGCCCCCCATTAAATTGTGGATAATGGTACAGTCCATCTTGTAAAGTGCTTTGAGATCTATGGATGGAAAATGGCTTTAAGAGCCAAGTGTTACAAGACGGTTATTCTCCAAGAATGCTATAATATAGCTTGGTTTCTGTTCAGTAGATGTGTACCAGCCATAGCATGCAAATAAGGGAAATTTGGGCCTATCTGCAAAAGCACACCAAATGGTCTCAAGGGACAGCTGTCTTTGTTTCATTGTAGTTTTAAATGCTGTGTTGACTGAGTCTACATTGTCAGTGCGATTATCTGGGACTTTGAATAGGCTGTACTCCTGAATCCATTCACAGAAGCATAGAATGCTAAAACTGGAAGGAACTGCAAGGGGCTGTCCAGTCCCCTGCACTAATGGTAGAATCAAGCATCATCTAGACCAGGGTGGGCCACTTCATGTATTTTGGGAAGTTCTGATGGATTGGCTCCAGGCCCCTGGAAAGGCAGAACTGGGAGCTAGAGAGTGGCTCCAGGCCCCTGGAAAGGCAGAACTGGGAGCTAGAGAGATACTGTGTATATTTGTCAGTGTGACACAAGGTTGTGTGGCACAGTATTTACAGTCACTATGTAGAGCAGAGAGCGTGTGCCATTGAGTCTGGGGGTGTGTGAGAGCGCTGGCTGCTGGAGAAATGTTAGGAACAATGCAAATGCCTCTTTGCAACACACTCATCTTGGTCACCATTTATATCTCAGACTGAAGCAACTCTCCTATATGTTCCTCTTCCTGACCCCCTAGTCTGTAGAGATGGGGTATAGGGACTAGGAGAAGACTGATATCGGCTTTTCACTCCTATGCTAGTCTGTAGAGATGGGGTATAGGGACTAGGAGAAGACACTGACATTGGCTTTTCACTCCTATTATCTTCTCCCTCTCATCCTGCACAGTAGGAAGGTTCTGGGTGCAGCTCAGTGCAAGATGGAGCGAGGAGGGGCAGTTGGACACATGGTGTAGCTGCTGCTGGCTGATTAGTAGAGTGCAAATACTTACATCTGGGGGGGTTGGATTTTGCCCAGCATCTAGGCCATCCCTGACAAGTGTTTGCCTAACCAGCTATTAAACTTCAGTGATAGTGATTCCACAACATTGCTAGGCAGTTATTCCAGTGCTTAACCACCCTGACAGTTAGGAAGTATTTCTTAAAGTCCAACCCGAACATCTTGCTGCAGTTTAAGCTCACAGCTTCTTGTCTCATCAGAGGAGAATGGTTGTTACAAAGAGAGAGGAAAAAATTAAAGTCCACTTCCTTAAGTCTATTGGGCCACCCTTGACATTTTAAAGTGTATTAACTTCCTCAGTTTGACTTTTTTATTGAAAAAGCAGGATAAGTAGCCTCTTGTGGAGGCAAAGAAATTACTGGACTAAATACTTACTTTGTACTTCTAAATTGCAAAGGCCACAAAAAAGGGCTGAAAGTACTCCGAGCTCAATTGAGCCCCCGAGTCCCTGAAATAATGGAAACCTCTCCAATTGCCTAAATTTGCCACAAACAAATCAGAGTTCAAAGGGATCCCAAGGGTCGTTTTGTTGGTAATTAATGTCTCTTCAGTATTCAGTACAAAGTGATTTTAATGGGAGTTGCATTCTGCTGTGGTTGTTGACTCAAAGAATTAATGATTATTAATTACTTAGGGGTTCAACTGATCCGAGTCTTCCTGGAGCACGTTTCTGGTGCCTACCTTCTTAGTCATGGCTTCTTCTGGTATGTAATGTTAAGAACATTTTATTGAATATTCCTGTTAGATCTTTTTAGTAACTTGTAAATATTTTGAATGAAAGGGAAGTTCCTTTACCCCCTTTGAGCTTAAATAAGCAAAATACTATTCTCTCAGTGTAGGGGCTAGAAAACTAAATGTATGTGAAAAGCTTTGTCTGTTAGCAGATAATGTGTAGATGAACTGAAAGCCATCTGCTTTGATGAAAGTGACTATACAATGTGGATGTGATGCCTGAAGTCCTATAAGCAGATAAGTCAGTTCTGCAGGATTTTTAGGAGCCATTTGTGTGCTGTCCTGCTGAGTAAAACACTGCACTGGGACTTGGGAGATCAGGGTTCAATCCCTGACTTAACAACAGCTTTCTGTGGAACTTTGGGCAAGTTATTTCCCTCAGTTCTCCATTTACAAAATGAGGATATTTGCCTATCTAACTAGGGCAGTGGTCCCCAAACTTTAGAGGTGCCCGGGGGCAGGGCCACTCATGTGCCGGGCGCCATGGGGTGGGGGCCGCGGGTCCTGGGGCAGGCCAGGGGTGGGGATGCCCTTGCACCCAGCGCCGGCATATGCCCCGGGGCCGCCCGAGCGCCTTGTGCCATGGACCCAGCGCCGCCACCTGGGACCGGCGCCATGTGCCCTGGGGCTGGGGCCAGAGCGCTGCGCACCAGGCGCCGGCGCCTCCCGTGCACCACGCGCAGGGGGCGGGGCCGGCCCAGGTTGTCGGTGGGTGCACACAAATGCCCCGGCGGGCGCCATGGCATCCACAGGCACCGCTTTGGGGAACACTGAACTAGGGTGTTGTGTGGAAGGGGCTATGTGAATTTAAAAACAAATGTGGTGTTGGTCTATGCTGCTGCTTTAAACAGGCTAAACTGTTAATTTTAAACTCTCCATTCGACAGCTGGATTATCTAAATCTAAGAATCCAGTGTAATGAAGTAAAAGTCATTGCTTAAACTGGCTCAAAATACCAGTGTCTTGTCATTCTCTTAGATATTCAGGTGAAGGAGCTGGAAAAGCGTGCCTCTGGGCAGGCATTTGAGCTGATACTCAGTCCTCGTTCAAAAGAAGCAGTCCCAGAATTTCCCCTCTCCCCTCCAAAGAAAAAGGATCTTTCATTGGAAGAAATTAAGAAGAAGTTGGAAGCTGCAGAAGAGAGACGCAAGGTAAATCCAAAATAACAGCAACTAAAAAGGGCCAGTCAGGTAAAGCTAATTTGAAACATGCACAAACCTTTCTGATAAATATAAACTTGCAGGACTAAATCTTAATAGAAGCATTCATTTGGACAAACAGCTAGTTACCTACATTCCATCACTGCTGCAAAAGAGCAGAAGAATGTTTGCTTGTTAAATGGCTTGCAGTGAAACTTCTGAAGCTTACTCAATTGTGTTAAATATATTTTTTAGATCTCTATTTTATTCCTAGAGACCTTTCAGAGCTGCCCTTCTCTCTCCCCCTCTGCTCCCTCCTCCCCTCACTTCCTTTTTTTTGGGGGGAGGGGGCGGAGGGGGAGAGAGAAGTGGCATTTAATAAAGAGAATGCTACTTGTTCTCAAGTTAACTGACAGGTTGTCTTCCCTATAGTTGTTGTGCTATCTTATACTTCACGGCTACGTCTACATTGGCAAGATTTTGCGTAAATACTCTTTAACGCAAGAGTTTTTGTGTTAGAGTATTTGCGCAAGAGCATCTACACTGGCATGTGCTTTTGCGCAAAAGCATCCGTGCCAGTGTAGACGCTTTCTTGTGCAAGAAAGCTCTGGTGGCCATTTTAACCATCGGGTTTTCTTGCGCAAGAAATTCATGTTTCCTGTCTACACCGGCCTCTTGCGCAAGAGGGCTTCTTCCTGAGCGGGAGCATCATAGTTCTTGCGCAAGAAGCACTGATTTCTTACATTAGAATGTCAGTGTTCTTGCGCAAGAACTTGCAGCCAGTGTAGACAGGCCCATATGTAAAGTCTTAACTCCTCCCAGAAAAATCTGGTTATTAGAAAAATCAGAGTGTTATTCAGAGAAACACTCTGCTGTTGTGATACAGCTTTACATGTGTAATTATTATACATGCAAATTTTATAAATTAGGCCATACATGCAAAGGCTCTTAACACAAACATAACCTCTGATTTTTGTGTAGTATTTATTGTCCATAGGTTCATGCAAAAACATAGTGACTTGAGGATAGAATAATCCATTCTACTTGGCAGCAGTATTCCCTTACACTAACTGCAAGAACTTCTTTTCTTGTGTACTCAGCTGTGATGGAATCCAGACAAGTAGAGACTGTACTAGGGATTTGTGCCTGATGCACATTAACAGGGCTCAACGAATAATGTAATCTACTCGCCTGTGACGAGTAGATTACAACCTGGAAGAGCGATCTGTGCATGTGCAGAGCTGCCTGGCTGGCGAGCAGGACTCGCCGCCGCTTGGTGAGCCCTGCACATTAAGATACAATCTCAAATGCAATAGGCAGTAAAACTGGTTTACGTTGGAGACAACCTTGTCATCTGTCTTGTGTCTAAACATGCATGGTCTATCTTGTTAGTCTCATGAAGCAGAAGTCTTGAAGCAATTAGCTGAGAAACGAGAGCATGAAAAAGAAGTGCTTCAGAAAGCAATTGAAGAAAATAATAACTTCAGCAAAATGGCAGAAGAGAAGCTGACCCACAAAATGGAAGCTAACAAAGAAAACAGAGAGGCACAAATGGCTGCTAAACTGGAGCGCTTGAGGGAGAAAGTAGGTGCAGAGTTCCAATTGCCACTGGGGAAGAACTTTTGTATGTTTTGTATTAGTTAACCAATTAATGACAGAGTGGGGTAACTTTCTAAATAGACATCTGGGGGTATCTTTTGGTCAGTCGCCACACTAAGGATTATACAGCTTACATCCTTCAGACCTATAGTAATTCTGGGAGGAGGGACTGGAGGGAATTTATGCACTTTAGGAAAGAAAGCAAGTTAACAGATCTTCAAAACTCAGTGCTGCATGCTATAATTCATCTTGTCCATTGGGGTCAGATGTGAATGTGTGGCAGCTGAAGTGTAGACAGTGCTGCTACAAACCTAGAGTCTTAGTAGACTCGCTCAAACAACTAATCATTCAATTACCTTTCCTTTCTTCAGGACAAGCATATTGAAGAAGTACGGAAGAACAAAGAAGGCAAAGAACCTGGTGAGAATGAAAGTGACTGACTTCATTCTGGGAAATAACTTTCTTCCCCTCCCCTAAATATCCAAAGACTGTATTGGCCAGTGGGTTTTGTTGAATTTCTAGAAAACTGATGTAGAGCTGTATAGTTAGATCCAAACTGTACACTTGCTTTGGGGACTAAAGGGGAGATCTTGCGTGTTTCACTTTTTTTCTAAAGTGGTTGTCTTTCCAGTGTAGCTATCTTCTTGTTGCATCCTTTTCTACTCCAGTGCACTTGCTACTGGGCTGATGGCTAGTACTGTATAAGCTCTGTAAGACATGTTTGTGAAAGGAATATGTAGTAACAATTCCATGCTAAGTATCTGTTACACTTCAAAATCTGACTTTGTCCCAGTCTTATAAGATACTACTGTAACTGAGTGACTTAATAAAGCTGCACAGTGCTATTACCATAAGTGAATTATTTCTGGAACTAGTATGATACCAAAATTGAAACTTTTTTAATAGATGACTGAAATAAGACCACCTTTCAACATTAGAGAGAACCCTGAAACAGCACTTTTTTCCTTTTCCTTACACTCAGCTCCTAGATATACTGTATGGCAGCCTTTTCCCTAGAGCTGTCTTCATTGTTTTAATCTTTACAATAAGAGCCTTGTTGTGGCAGCTCAGCAGTTGTCAGCTGTTACTGTTCTTGTTTAAGCAATCCATAATCACCTCCCTCTGGATGTTGATTCTCAACAAATATGTCCTTGTTACCCCATGACTAATCTGACTCTTTTTCTTTGTTTTAAAACAACTTTTCTGGAAACACTAAGTGAGCTATCTGTCACCATGCAGCTTTATGGAGAGACTTCAGTGGAAATAGTGACTTCAGACTTGAGACACTGTTCTTGCTGGGGTTATCTGCTTTCCTAACCTAATGGCAAAGAGGCTTAAATTTAAAGATGGGCATCTTATCAAGACTTCCAGTATTTGCTATGGTAAAGTGCAATCTATACCTCTTACCAGTTCAGAGGGGTCACACTTTGTGAGCAAAACATACTTATTCTAGCTAAAGCAGTAGTTGGTGCTTAAGGGGGAGTTTTTTTTTTAAGGTACCAAGAACAGTTAAGCATCCAACTCCTATTGCTATCCTTGCAAAATAGTCTGAGTCTACTTCCTTAATTACTAAGTAATAGAGGTAGCTGTGTTAGTCTGATCTTACTGTTGGCTGATACATGTTCCCTATTTAACTCAAGTCAAGCCAGTCTAATGGGAGAAAGATCATCACTGCACTTACTGACACTCAGCTCAGTAAGCTTTGTTCAAAGTGAAAGACTTGAGTGGTTCCCAACCTTTCCAGGTGGGGACCCATCTTGACAATTCAGGAAGACTTGGTGACCCAAGACAATTCAAACATGGGGGAGGAGCGGAGGCAGAGCCACCTGAGGAGACACTTGGTGACCCTTTTGAAATGTAATGGAGATCCATATTTGGGTCCCGACCCATAGGTTGGGAAAACCTGCTCTAGGAGGAGTCTTGTAGCCTACAGTCACAAGAGTCTGTTCACTGAGGTAAAGGAATAACTGCTAGTTGTCTAGGTAAATAGCTACTGGACCATATGATCTCTAAAAATGAATTCTACTCATGTCAAGCATAAATGGAAATCTTGTAACTTGGACTTCTGATATAATCTATTTCAGAGAACATTTGTAGCTAAATACAAAATACCCCTTGAATGGCTTGAACACCCTAGCCTGTTGCCCCGGAAGCTTGTGTAAATCTTGGGGGAAGATGAGACCCTGGTATCATGTGAGGCACCTAATGGCTCAATTTCAGGAACACTGAAGACTAACTGCTCCTGACCAGCTAGCATTTTGAGTGGTCAGCACTTCTGAAACAGCTCTGACCTCAAAATTAGACACCTTTTCTTTTGTTGCCCTTCAGTTTTATTGCAACATTTACTTCAGTACAGCCCTACTTTATGGGAACACACATCATGGGGCAAATGATATCCTCAAAATAATGTACCATTCAGTTGAAAGTGACATTTGTGTAGTGATGAGAATTGCTGTTTATCAAGTGATGGCTGGCCCAGGGTTCTTCAGGGTTTTTTTAATTGCTGACCTGAATTCCAGGATACTTCAGTTTTCTGGGAGTGGTTAATGTTTAAACCTTGTTTCTGTAGCTCCTTACAGAATATGTATGTGGACTGTCTGCTTGATGCTGTATAAATGCAGAACAAAAAGAGACCCTGGTCCATGACTGGAATTCCTAGCTGCTACCTGTTATACTAATAGTTGTCAGAACTGATCAGCTCAAAAACCTATTCTGTATATTTAGCCCAAGTGGCAGGGTGCATCTACTCATTGGAGGAGGGACCAAATAATGGGGAGTCAGTACAGATGCAGAGGGGAAGTGACTTAACTGAGATTATGTAAAAGTGTCAGTCAAAAATGAACCCTAGGTCTGGCAATTACCAGTACAGTGCATCTCTCCTGAAAAGCATTCTGTTGGACTTGCACTACTCCTGTGGGGAGAAAAAAGTGAGAGGATACCAAAGTATTCATCACATAGGTGACAAAATCAAGGGGAAAAGCTCAGCCTGGAAGAGTGAAGAGCACTGCCAACTGGAATGTCAACATTACATCCTCCAGTAGGTTGCCAGCTGTGCCCTGGAGACCTATTTAAAGTTCTGGTCATGCATGACCAGATCTTGTAGTATCCCAAATGAACACAACATGAGGGGGCTATGGCTGAACTAGTCTCATTCTATTTTAGAAGGGGACTGCTGGAAGAAGGCTTATACAGGAATTTGAGAAGAGAATGAAAACATGAGATACCTAGGAACTGAGGATAACACAGTAAGGGGAAAAAGGGAAGTAATGGACAAATTCTTGTTAGAAAGAAGACACCTTTTTTTCACAGTGTGGGCCTGACCTTTGGAACAAATTACCAAGGGAAGGTGGATTCTGCATCTCTTGATGTCTGCAGCTGAAGATGCCCATCTACAAGCTATGCTTTAGCCAAACACAAGTTACTGGGCTTTTTACAGGAAAAACAGAACATTTCATTGCCTGTAACACATAGGAGATAATACTAGATGATTTCTTTCATTGCCTGTAACACATAGGAGATACTAGATGATTTAATGCTCCCTTTTGGCCTTGATATTTATGAAAATACAAATTAATAATTCTTTGGTCCACATTAGAATTATTATGGCTTAGGAAAAGACTGAGACCAGATGTGTTTTTTTTATTGGTTTAACTATTAAGAAGCTGAACATTTAGCCCTTTTTTTTTATTGGTTTAACTATTAAGAAGGTGACCGTTTAGCCTGTAGAGACAGGAGCAGCTCCCCACCTGTGGACAGGGACTGTTACAACTGGGATACACCTCTCAGGTATTGTTACAATGTCTGCTGGCTCTGGAAGAGGTCACTGCATTGACATAGGTCCCAGGACTTGTCTACACAGGGAAGCTGTTGCAAAATAAACTAGGGTGTGAATTTCTAACATGATAGCTATTCCACACTGCTTCCCAATGTGAACCTCTTATTCCAAACTGAGTAATTTTGTGCAGATTCAGTTTATTGCACTCCCAAAGTGGTTTAAACTAAACTGTATAAAGGCACTTGGTGCAGAATAAGGATATGTCTACTGCATGGTTTATGAGGTGGGCAGTGTAGTCACTCTATTGCCAGGGAAAAGCTCTCCTGGTGATAAACTCCCTCCCCACACATTCTGAACGAGCGGTGGTAGCTTTATCACCGGGAGCATGGCTCCCAGCAATATGGTGCTTTTCAGTGCTAAAACTTGTCACTTGGGTGTTTTTTCACGCCTGTGCATGATCAAAGTGTTTGAGTTGATACATAGGGTCTACACTGCCACTAAGAGTGCAGTGCAGAATAGTACTGCAGACTATTTCCCTATGTATTTAAGCCTTTATTCTGCATGTTTTCAGGGTTACACTTGCAATAAAAATGCTACAACATTAATTTTTTTTTAAATGGAAGCTCAGATTCTGAAGCCCAATTGTGAATCAAGGGGTATAATCCATATCGCAGACTCCTGGATTGCATAGAGCTCTACTACGACACAGAGCCTCACATGGTCTGCAGCTAGTAGCAAAGATCTATATTCCTTTGTAAATGGCTTTGTCCTACTCGATACTGTTCCTCCTGCTCCAGAACAGAGGGCTATCTATCTATCTATCTATCTATCTATATATTAAAAAAAAAAAATCTCCTGCGGGATGATAGTGATGTCATGTCATATTCTGCATCCTGCAGCCCCTCTTCCCTCTCCTTTCCCCAGTTCTCAGCTGCTGTGGGGCAGCCTCCCTCCTCCCTGGTGGCTGTGGGGAGAGAGTTGGCCTTGCCAGGGCCAGGAGAGGGGGGTTGGATTGGGTCATGCCCAGGGGGTGAGAGAAAAGCTTCGGACTGGCACAGCTGACTGGGAGAGGGAGAATGGGCCTGGGCTAGCACACAGGGGGAGAGGTTGGGAGGGGAGGGCAGTGAGGAGGGACAGAAGGCTCGGGTTGGCATAGCCAAGGGGAAGAGAAGAGTTGGGTGGTATGGCTGGGGGGAGAACTGGGGTTGCCTACCCCGCATGAGAGGGGGGTTGCTGAGTGCAGCAAGCAGGGGCTGCTAGTCTATTATGTATTTTAAAAAGTTTGAGAGTGTCTGTCTATGAGTCTGTCTGTTCAAGAACTCCTAAAGGGTAAGCTGGGACCACCAAATTTAGTATGCAACTTCCTGTTATAACTTAAAGCAAGTTTAGGGTTTGGTTGTGCCAGGCCAATCATATGTGCCTGGAATTCAGTTGTTTCAAATCAAATGTAAAGGCAGGGGTTTTTGAGCAGCAACAGTCATGCTGTCAATCACTGGGAGGCAGTGGCACCAGGAGCAGAGTGGCCGGCTGGGGACAGGGCTCTGGCTGTTGCCAGCCATTGTACCTGGCCAGCCCTGGGGAGCCACTGCTGAGCCAGTGCTGACCCAGCCAGCCTTGGGGATCTACTGGCCAGCCAGCATAGCGCTTGGCAGGCCCTGGGAACTGCTGCCCAGGCAGTGTAGCTCCCACTGCCCCACCTCTGGGGGTGGCACGCTGGTCAGCATAGTCCCTGCTGTTCTAACCAGTCCTGGTTCTGAGGGGCATTGAATTGGATAGCTTAGTCCCTGCCATCCCAGCCAGCCCCGGGAGCTGTTGCCTGGCCACCTTGGTGGGGACCCTCCCCCCAACCAGTCCTTTGCCCTGAGCCCTCCACACACCCATCCTCCTGCCCTAATTCCTGTACCCCCTGCATTTCTGCCCTGAGCTTCCCCCCATTTCCCAGCCCCCTGCCCTGACTCCTGTACATATATCCTGCTCTGAGCCCCCTGCCCTGATTTCTGCACATACATATCCCACTCCTTGCCCTTAGCCCTTGCTGAGTAACAGTGGGTAAATCCTCTACTTGCAGACATTGCAGGAATCATCTCTGGTCATTTCCCAAACAGTGGTTCTCAACCAAGGGCACATGGTACACATTGATCTTCAGTGGTACATCAACTCATCTAGATACGTCAAATTTTACAACAGGCTACATAAAAAGTGCTAGAAAAGTCAGCACACACTTAAAATGTACAATGATGTGTGTATAATGTTCTATTTACTGAAATGTAAATAGGTATATTTCAATTCAATTCATTTATTTTATGACTAGCAGATTTACCCAGCATTGCTTGGTTTTTTTTTGTTTGTTTTTTTAATGAAAGGAAAATGTACATACTTTAAATCATTGCATTTTTTAAATATAGTGTTATTTTTATTAAATTAATCTTTACTTTGGATTTCTTTAAAAAAGGATTGTTAAAATGTTTCCATTTAATTGTTGTTTGGTAAAAAAAAAAAATTAAATGGGAATTCCATTGAGTGTATTTTTTATTCATTCCGTAACACTTATCATTTGCAATGTTTTAACAAAAAAGGGCTATAGTCAACGTGGTTTGCAATAACTTTTTCTTCTATGTTTCATACCGTAAACATGGATTTAGCTGTGCCAAAAAAGAGCATTACTCCAGATGTCTCCATTTATCTCCTTTCTGTAAGGTTAATTGAGAAGTGATCCTATTGCACGTTCATCCTATTTTTCCAGGTCATCTTGGTTCAGTCTCTTTCAGCTTTTGCTCAGTTATGTCAATTTTGAAGACTACTTAATTTGGTGATTTTGTCTTCTGTTTGGTGTTATGAGAAGCAATCACAATCCAGGCACATCCCATTTTCATGGCACAACCAAACCCTAACATTACTTAAAGCAATGATAAGGGGAATCAGCATACTGAATTTGGTGGTCCTAGCTCTTAACTGTTTGGGAAGAGTTTTAAAACTTTAAGCATTGATTTAGTTGTGCTAAAACAGCACTACTCCAAATTTCTGCATTGTATCTGTTTTCTGTAAAGTTTATTGAGAAGCAGTCCTGTTCCAGGTTCATCCTATTTTTCTGGCTCATATTCTGGTTCTAGTCCAGGGGTGAAAGTAACTTTAATTTCGTAAGCTTCAGAGGGGTAGCCGAATTAGTCTGTAACTGAAAAAACTTAAAAAACAATGACTAGACTAGCAGCACCTTAAAGACTAACAAAGCATGTAGATGATATCATGAGCTTTTGTGGGCACAACCCACTTCAGATGACTGGACTTTCATGGGTTGTGCCCAGGATGTAGGTGCAGGAGTAAGGGTTGGGGGGTGAGAGGCTCAGGGCAGGGGGTTGGTGTGTTTGTGAAGTCAGGATTGTGAGGTAAAGAGGAGGATGGGGGAGGGAACAGAAAGGAAGGAGGACCAATACATACACCCTTCTTCATACCAGCTTCTTGCTCTTCCTGTCTTGAGAGGGAGAGCAAAGTGCACAGCTCATCTGCCCCCTGCACATCCCAACCAAACTGCACTTTCCCCTTGCTCTTTGACAGTGATGAAGGGGAACCGCCAGAAATCTGGGGGGAGCTTTAGGCCCCGTCCCTCAAGGGAGGCTTAGGAGTGGGGCAGTCCTGGACAGGATGGGCGACGCACCCCAGCCAGCCCCTTTCACCTGCCTGGTGATTCTGGCTCTCTTCTGTTTGGTTTCCTGAGAAGCAATCCCATTCCAGGCACATCCCATTTTCCTGGCACAACCATACCCTGGCCTTGCTTTAAGTCGGGGTGGGAAACCTCAGGCTCAGAGGCCAGATGTGGCCCCTGGCCTGTCCGGATCTGGCCCCTGAGGCTCAGTCCTTGCCCCCAGCATTGAGGAGCCCATGCTGGTGCTCCAGCCCCCCTGCTATCCCACTGCAGGGCTGGAGCGGGGGTGAGAGGCTCAGGGCAGGGGGTTGGTGTGTTTGTGAAGTCAGGATTGTGAGGTAAAGAGGAGGATGGGGGAGGGAACAGAAAGGAAGGAGGACCAATACATACACCCTTCTTCATACCAGCTTCTTGCTCTTCCTGTCTTGAGAGGGAGAGCAAAGTGCACAGCTCATCTGCCCCCTGCACATCCCAACCAAACTGCACTTTCCCTTGCTCTTTGACAGTGATGAAGGGGAACCGCCAGAAATCTGGGGGGAGCTTTAGGCCCCGTCCCTCAAGGGAGGCTTAGGAGTGGGGCAGTCCTGGACAGGATGGGCGACGCACCCCAGCCAGCCCCTTTCACCTGCCTGGTGATTCTGGCTCTCTTCTGTTTGGTTTCCTGAGAAGCAATCCCATTCCAGGCACATCCCATTTTCCTGGCACAACCATACCCTGGCCTTGCTTTAAGTCGGGGTGGGAAACCTCAGGCTCAGAGGCCAGATGTGGCCCCTGGCCTGTCCGGATCTGGCCCCTGAGGCTCAGTCCTTGCCCCCAGCATTGAGGAGCCCATGCTGGTGCTCCAGCCCCCCTGTTATCCCACTGCAGGGCTGGAGTGCATAAAATCTACTAGGAAAAGGTTCCCTACCCTTGCCTTAAATTATGACAAGAGGAAGCTATAGTGAATTGGGGAGGTGGGGGCTAGCTCTTACCTAGGAGTTCTTAGACATGCACAGACAGACTCTCTCAAACATATAGTAGATACAAAAGCAGAAAGGATGCACAAGCCCAATTTTTAAAGATTCTCTGTGGGTCACTTTTCACATCCTCCAGACCATACCTGAGTCTATGATGGTCTGGCATTTCATTAATGGTTTTAACTGGTAAGCAGATCTACTGGGGACTTCTAATATCCTGATCTTGCAGAAACTGACAAATATCAGTAGTCCCACAAAAATAATGTCCATGACAAACTGTTTGGCTATGTCTAGACTGATGTGATTTTCTGCAAATGCTTTTAATGGAAAAGTTTTTCGTTAAAGCATTTGCGGAAAAGAGCGTCTAGATTGGCACGGACGCTTTAAGCGTCCGGCCCAATCTAGACGCGCGTTTCCGCAAAAAAGCCCCGATCGCCATTTTCGCGATTGGGGCTTTTTTGCGGAAAACAAATCCAAGCTGTCTACACTGGCCCTTTTGCGCAAAAGGACTTTTGCCCGAACGGGAGCAGCATAGTATTTCCGCAAGAAGCACTGATTTCTTACAGTAGGAAGTCAGTGCTTTTGTGGAAATTCAAGCAGCCAGTGTAGACAGCTGGCAAGTTTTTCCAGTTTAGACACAGCCTGTGGGTATGGTCCTGAAATGGTCTGCAATAGGGAGAGTTCATGCTGAGAGGCCAATTGGGGATAAATTCAGACCAAAAGATTTACAACAGTCTGATGCTGCATTGATCCCGACCTCTGTTTGATAAAACTCACTCCAAGCCCTGAAGAATTTGAAGACAAAACAACAGAACAAGCTTTGTCAGCTCCTGTGTCGCCTGAAGTTTCTTTACAGACATTTTTGCTTGCAATAGGGAGAGTTCATGCTGAGAGGCCAATTGGGGATAAATTCAGACCAAAAGATTTACAACAGTCTGATGCTGCATTGATCCCGACCTCTGTTTGATAAAACTCACTCCAAGCCCTGAAGAATTTGAAGACAAAACAACAGAACAAGCTTTGTCAGCTCCTGTGTCGCCTGAAGTTTCTTTACAGACATTTTTGCTTA